ATAAAAATCAGATCAGAAATAAATGAAAAAGAAATGAAGGAAACAATAGCAAAGATCAATAAGAGTAAAAGCTGGTTCTTTGACAAGATCAACAAAATTGATAAACCATTAGCCAGACTCATCAAGAAAATGAGGGAGAGGACTCAAATCAATAAAATTAGAAATGAAAAAGGAGAAGTTACAGCAGACACCACAGAAATACAGAGCATCCTAAGAGACTACTACAAGCAACTCTATGCCAATAAAATGGACAACCTGGAAGAAATGGACAAATTCTTATAAAGGGATAACCTTCCAAGACTGAACCAGGAAGAAACAGAAAATATGAACAGACCAATCACAAGTAATGAAATTGAAACTGTGATTAAAAATCTTCCAACAAACAAAAGTCCAGGACCAGATGGCTTCACAGGTGAATTCTATCAAACATTTAGGGAAGAGCTAACACCCATCCTTCTCAAAGTCTTCCAAAAAATTTCAGAGGAAGGAACACTCCCAAACTCATTCTATGAGGCCACCATCACCCTGATACCAAAACCAGACAAAGATACTACAAAAAAAGAAAATTACAGACCAATATCATGCATGAATATAGGTGCAAAAATCCTCAACAAACTACTAGCAAACAGAATCCAGCAACACATTAAAAGGATCATCCACCATGATCAAGTGGGATTTATCCCAGGGATGCAAGGATTCTTCAATATACACAAATCAATCAATGTGATACACCATATTAACAAACTGAAGAATAAAAACCATATGATCATCTCAGTAGATGCAGAAAAAGCTTTTGACAAAATTCAACACCCATTTATGATAAAAACTCTCCAGAAAGTGGGCATAGGGGAACCTACCTCAACATAATAAAGGCCATAATAAAGGCCACAGCAAACATCATTCTCAATGGTGAAAAACTGAAAGAATTTCCTCTAAGATCAGGAATAAGACAAGGATACCCAACCTTGCCACTGTTATTCAACACAGTTTTGGAAGTCCTAGCCACAGCAATCAGAGAAGAAAAAGAAATAAAAGGAATACAAATTGGAGAAGAAGAAGTAACACTGTCACTGCCTGCAGATGACATGATACTATGCATAGAGAATCCTAGAGATGCCACCAGAAAACTACTAGAGCTACTCAATGAATTTGGTAAAGTTGCAGCATACAAAATTAATGCACAGAAATCTCTTGCATTCCTACACACTAATGATGAAAAATCTGAAAGAGAAATTAAGGAAACACTCCCATTTACCACTGCAACAAAAAGAATAAAATACATAGGAATAAACCTACCTAGGGAGACAAAAGACCTGTATGCAGATAACTACAAGACACTGATGAAAGAAATTAAAGGTGATACAAACAGATGGAGAGAAATACCATATTCTTGGATTGGAAGAATTAATATTGTACAAATGCCTATAATACCCAAAGCAATCTACAGATTCAATAAATCCCTATCAAATTACCAATTGCATTTTTTACAGAACTAGAACTAAAAAATCTTAAAATTTGTATGGAGACACAAAAGACCCCAAATAGCCAAAGAAGTCTTGAGGGAAAAAAATGGAGCGGGAGGAATCAGACTCCCTGACTTCAGACTATACTACAAAGCTACAGTAATGAAGACAATATGGTACTGGCACAAAAACAGAAATATACATCAATGGAACAGGATAGAAAGCCCAGAGATAAACCCACACACCTATGGTCAACTATTCTATGACAAAGGAGGCAAGGATATACAATGGAGAAAAGACAGTCTCTTCAATAAGTGGTGCTAGGAAAACTGGAGAGCTACATGTAAAAGAATGAAATTAAAACATTCCCTAACACCATTCACAAAAAATAAACTCAAAATGGATTACAGATCTAAATGTAAGACCGGATACTATAAAACTCTTAGAGGAAAACATAGGAAGAACACTATTTGACATAAATCACAGCAAGATCTTTTTTGATCCATCCCCTAGAGTAATGTAAATAAAAACAAAAATAAACTAATGGGACCTAATGAAACTTAAAAGCTTTTGCAAAGCAAAGGAACTACAAACAAGACAAAAAGACAACCCTCAGAATGGGAGAAAATATTTGCAAATGAATCAATGGACAAAGGATTAATCTCCAAAATATATAAACAGCTCATGCAGCTCAATATTAAAAAAACAAACAACCCAATCCAAAAATGGGCAGAAGACCTAAATAGACATTTCTCCAAAGAAGACATATAGATGGCCAAGAAGCACATGAAAAGCTGCTCAACATCACTAATTATTAGAGAAATACAAATCAAAACTACAAGGAGGTATCACCTCACACCAGTTAGAATGGGCATCATCAGAAAATCTACAAACAACAAATGCTGGAGAGGGTGTGGAGAAAAGAGAACCCTCCTGCACTGTTGGTGGGAATGTAAATTGATACAGCCACTATGGAGAACAGTATGCAGGTTCCTTAAAAAACTAAAAATAGAACTACTGTATGACCCAGCAATCACACTACTGGGCATATACCCTGAAAAAAACATAATTCAAAAAGACACATGCACCTCAATGTTCATTACAGCACTATTTACACTAGCCTGGTCACGGAAGCAACCTAAATGCCCGTTGACAGATGAATGGATAAAGAAGATGTGGTACACGTATAAAATTATTTATAATTTATGGCTGAATATTACTCAGCCATGAAAAGGAATGAAATTGGGTCACTTATAGAGATGTGGATGGATCTAGAGACTGTCATACAGAGGGAAGTAAGTCAGAAAGAGAAAAACAAACATCGTATATTAACGCATATATGTGGAACCTAGAAAAATGGTACAGATGAACCTGTTTGCAGGGCAGAAATAGAGACACACATGTAGAGAACAAATGTATAGACACCAAGAGGGGGGAAGGGACGGTGGGGGAGCGGGTGTGATGAATTCGGAGATTGGGATTGACATGTATACACTAATATGTATAAAATGGATAACTAATAAGAACCTGCTGCATAAAAAAATAAATTAAATAAAATTCAAAAATTCCCCAAAAATGGTATATAAGGCCCCCCCCCAAAAAAAAAAGAGATCAGGTAAGAGGAACAGATTCATATTTCAGGTCATATTTTAAGTTGAGCATCACAACTTGATCTGAATCCATTTGCACGTTGTCCTAGAAAACAAGATAGCTGTTCTTTTTTTTTTTTAAGTTATTTATTTATTTATTTTTGGCTGTGTTGGGTCTTTGTTTCTGTGCGAGGGCTTTCTCTAGTTGTGGCGAGCGGGGGCCCCTCTTCATCGCGGCGCACGGGCCACTCTTCATCACCGTGCACGGGCCTCTCACTGTCGTGGCCTCTCTTGTTGCAGAGCACAGGCTCCAGATGCGCAGGCTCAGTAGTTGTGGCACACGGGCCTAGTTGCTCCGTGGCATGTGGGATCTTCCCAGACCAGGGCTCGAACCCGTGTCCCCCGCATTGGCAGGCAGATTCTCAACCACTGCGCCACCAGGGAAGCCCAATAGCTGTCTTTTTGCTGTGTCGAATTTTTGATCCATCAGCAGGTCACCTGGCCTATACCACCCAAGAAGCAGGATTTGCTTCTCTTTCCGGTCTTAGTTTTTGAAGAAACCTTTGTTTATAAAAATGTGGTGTGAATTTGTTTTCTCTTCCAGCATGGCCCTCACCATCCCACAGCGCAAACAAAATGTTCCCACCTTCCCGCTTATTTTCTCTGTGTTCCTTCAGAGCATCCAAGATAACGGCAGAGACAGGTTGTTGGACAAATCAGTAGGTTGTCATGAAATATGCAATATATACAGTTCAAATGGATCAGGGCCATGGAACTAGTTTAAGGCCTCTTGTTATCCTCTGGTGTAGCTCTGTGAAATAATCTCTGACCTTTATACAACTTGGCATCACTGTGTTGATGAGAGGCAATGTGCTGAACAGGGTGAAGAAGCCTACTGGGCCAACCTGACAAGATGGAGAGGCAGCTGAGACACTGCTCCAGCCTCTTCCTCTCCAGAATCCATCACTGAGCAGGCATGCTTCTTTGTTTTCTCTGAACGGCACAACGTAAACTTCCTTAAGCTCTGAATTTGCCAAAACCAGTTGGAATTGAGGATATCTGCTAATGGTACCCAAATATCCTATCAGTCAACGGATGATAAACACTAACATTGTAGAGAAGCACCATTATACCGCCCACATTGGTACTGCATCTTAGATTCTTTCCTATTAACAGGGCCTGATGCTCCATGATGCTGACAAGGGGTTGACTCATGACATCTTCCATCTTTAAGCGAGTCACTGTGGACAAGATGCTATATAAGAAACGCTATGAAATACTGGTTTTACTGCTAGTCTGAGTCTCACTCTGTGCTGGCAATGAGATTACAATAACACACTACAAAATAAGTGTTACACGAACAACCTTAGTATTAGTAGCCATTATGGGAGAATTGAGAAAGAATCGTCTTTACACTTTAGATACCAGGATGGTGTTCTCGTGTCTGGCAGAAGGAGCATCATAACAGTTATGAATGGAGTTGGCAACCGGTACAGCAGGCACTGTCCAATGGGGACAGAGAGAGTGAGGTGCCAGAAGAGACTTGTTATTCCCAGCATTAACATTTGAGGTGCTGGGAAGTCAGGACTGCAGGGGGTGGGGGTTTCTGGAGGAAAGACCAAGATAGCCAGACAGTAGAGGGTCCCCTTGTGGGCTTTAGGGCAGTGCCTATTCACCAACCAGTACCAAAGTAGTTCAATATTTTCACAAGTGGCTAAATTGCTGCATCAGTGGACTACCAGTCCTAGTTGTGATAAATCAATGCACATCATGCTTGGTAAACCCAATTGGATCCTTGCTACTGAACACTGTAATCGCTAATAATGGGACTATACCACAGGCATAATCTTGCCAATGACCATTTAATTTCACTAGGGATTTCAGGCATTTTTCAAGGAGATGTGGGATTAAACCAACTAAAATATTTATCACACGGCCATATACTTACAACAGCTGCAAAGATGTACTTCTGGTCTTTTTCTTGTAAAAAGAGCAGCACATCAGTTAGAAGCAGAGCTAGGATATCTTCAAAGGAAAAATATTACTAGTATTAATGAAGCAAACCACAATTCAAATGCCTTTATTAAAATTCTAATTTCATGTTTAAATAATTTAAATAAACATACTAAAAATAAATACTAACTTTTAGTCTAACTATAAAACCTTTATTAAAATGCCTGTATTATGATAGCTAAAGATATATTTTATAGATAACTTAGTAGGTAAGCTGTGTTTAAGTGCACGTTTGTGTGTGTCACGGTTGGTGCAGTTAAATCTCCAGCAAAATTTAATGTTGTAGCCTTCCAAATGGAAGAAAAATATTCAATAAAAAACAAGGTTCTAATAGAATGGAGCAAGCCCTTACCTTTATGGCAAAAAAGTGCTTAATTAAAAATGTTTATGGGCAGCTTCTGCCTTGAATTACTATATATACTAATCTGCTATTTTGTTCCATCTGGATCTGAGAGAAATCTGAGGTCCTACACCTCCCTTACATACTGTTCACAAGAACCCACCTTCACTATACCACTAACATTCTAACACAAAGCTACCCAGCTGTTCATTCCACAAAACAGATAAAGAGCAAATGACTTGGAGCAATAGGATCTACAGACTGCGGTTAATATTTTAGTTGTGGTTAATATTCTAAGTATGGTTCATGTTTAGTTGCAACAATAAGTCCTTTGGTCATTTGTTGCAAGCACTACCAAAATCTGATAATCCTTCAGTGGGTAGCAACCTTGGAGTACCTGGAATTTAATCACCTCTTCCTCTCATTGCTTACCTAAGGAAGATACTAAGACATATCAGAAACAAGAAGGTTGGGCCAGTGGTGCTTAACCCTGACTGCAGACTCACCTGGGTGCTTTGAGCATCCCTATGCCTGGGCTTCACCCCCAGACCAATAAAATCAGAACCTCTGGGAGGAGACATGAGCATCAGTAAAATTTTTAAACTCCAGAGGCCATTCTAGGGTTTTAAATCCAGTGGCCAGTGTTGACAAAGCCTCAGACAAGGTGCTAGCCACAGAATCATTTCTTAAGGATCAGAATAAACTATTTTAGACTCTAACCAGACTAACATGCAGGTTAATGCCTGATAGCAAACAGCACACCAATGTCAACATGTATATTTATGCATTACTATGTATATTTATGCATTATATCATTCAGTCCCAAAGATGATGTTTAGAGCTCATTTTTCCCCTCAATGGTCTGAGCTCCTGGCTGGCTTGGCACACAACAGATTCTGAGTGTGTAGGCACATTTTCCAGAATAATATTTCCATGCCAACAATTAGCAGAATTCTCAGGTCCTTTGATTTCAAACATCGCAGACTTGAAAACCCACACAATACATAGGAAGCCTTTTGCTTGAGGCAGCAAACTTCCCCCTAAGGTTTGTAGCGTGGGCCACCTGTGCCTATGGAAGTTTTCATCTTGATCCTACAGGGATCTTTCCACTGAACTAGGGTTTGTGTGTGGGCCTGCATCGCTGAACCAGTTTTCTTTGGAAAATCTGTCCTCTGTTAAATGAATAATATGCGTGAACAAGAGGGAGAATTGGTCTGTTAGAGCCACGGTACCTTTGAAACGACCTGTAGCGGTTTTCCAATAAACAAGGCCATCGTATAATAGGGTCCTTTCTTTACTCATCAGTGCCTGTTTCCTAAACACATGGCCATTTTTAAGCTTGGTACATGTTTTGTTTTCAATCTTATTTAGGATCTCAAGCCATTTTTGTTTTTTCTCATATTCGCTGACTTTTAAATCCACAGCTGCAATCATGTCTTTAATTAAGCAAAGAGCTTTGCATAAGTCTTTCTGTTCTTCAGTGCTCTCTGCATGGGAAAAAGAAAGAACAGACACCATGAAATAAGCCAGAGCACTAATAAGGAAGACATTTTTTCTTTAGTTTTAAATAAAGTTAAATACATCATCCAAATAGCAAAAATCCCAGAGCAAAAATATTGGATTAACTTCAAATATTCTGTCATCACTTGGCACCCCTCCTCCCCAAAAGGATGGTTAAAATGTGTCATTAAGAAGATTTACTTATCAGATGCTTCAGCAGAAACACTGTGACAATATGATGTCTGAATTCTAGAGACTGGTCTGACCTTCCTTCCTAAAGCAGTGAATGTGTCATATCCCAAGTTAGGCCTTCCTTCCACCTTCCCAGACACAGGTAATTAAGCAAACCCCACACCTAGCTTCTTAGAACTTAACTGAGCTACAAGCCCAAGCTGGAGTCCTCTCCCAGAAGGGAGCTGCAGGGTGACTTGAATAGACCTCGGACTCATTTGCTTTCCTAGATCCCTCTCTCCCTAAAAAAATAATATTTAAAATTATAACTTACAACTGCATTAACATAAAGATAAAGATATTAATATATATTAAAACATTATTTCAACCTAAAAAAATGGGACCGAGGCACCGCGCAGAGTAGGTAACTCAGCCACGCTCACGCCAACAGAGTAGACGATCATCGGATCCAGCTGTTACTCTGAAATACTAGCCAAATCTCTTATCTCTAGATTATCTTAAGAAAAACTTCTGGAGAAGTTTCTGCAACAGCCTCGTGGAGCTCTAGATGAAACCAAATTTAGCTATTTTCTATATCTGATTTTAAAAAAATGAATTGATGTTTATTGAGGTGAATGGAACTGAAAGGGAAAGTTTCAGGAGGTCAGAAAATGCTAGGAGAGGAGAAAGAAAAACAAGAGAGAAAATAAAAGATTCTCTAAGAGCCTAGAGCAGCAGAAATAAACACACAGAAATAGCAGTGAAATGGAATAAGAACAAGTCCTCCAAAGGGTCTAAACTTTCCAGGCTCTAAATGCCTCAAATAGGTACACGAGGGCTTTGTGAGAAAACCAAGGAATAGATCGTGACACCAATCATTAACAAGGAAGATTTTCTCATTGCCCATGAAAAGAATATATTTCATTTACTTCACTACTTTACTACACCTGCCATCCACCTAAGCAGCACTCCCCACCATGAAAAAAAAAAAAAGATTCTTCTTTATAAAGAGCATATTTTAGGGCTTCCCTGGTGGCGCAGTGCTTGAGAGTCCGCCTGCCGATGCAGGAGACGCGGGTTCGTGCCCCGTTTCGGGAAGATCCCACATGCCGCGGAGCGGCTGGGCCCGTGAGCCATGGCCGCTGAGCCTGCGCGTCCGGAGCCTGTGCTCCGCAAATGGGAGAGGCCACGACAGTGAGAGGCCCGCATAACGCAAGAAAAAAAAAAAAAGAGCATATTTTAAATATAGGAAAGTTGAGTAGAGAAAACCAAAGTTGAATTACAAAGTGACTTAAAGTAAGGCCAAGAAAAGGCTCTGAGTCTTCTGACCTTCAGGAATAAATTACTGTCTTTTAACCGCTTGCAACTCAAAGTGCAGCAGCATTGGCCCCACCCGGGGGTCTTGTTAGAAATGCTTATCTTGGGTTCTACCCCAGACCTACTGAATCGGAGTCTGCATGTAAATGAGATCCCCAGGTGAGGGGTACTGCTAATGAAAGTCCAAAAGCACTGCCATAAAGAGTCACATGAACCCATGTTCCCAGCAACTAGAGAGGTTGGAGAAGTCTGACCTAACTGAGGAGGCAGTGTTCGTTCAGCAACTATGATGTCTACGCCTGCAGAGCCATAAGTCCCACTTCTCATTGCCGACACACAGCAGGCAATCACTGTCATGCATCCTACCTGGAATCTGGCATGGGATGATTCTTGGAGGAGCACTAGCTGGCCTAACGCAGTCCGACAGATGTTAGTCTTTGAGTATTGTATTAAACTTAAGAAAGAGAATATAACCATAATATAAACTAAAAGTCTTAATTTTGTTTTCATTCTTTAACTGAGAACAAAATTATGAGGCTCTTCTCTTTCTACTGTGCTTATATTTTATGTTAAATTATAGGAAGCGGGCTTCCCTGGTGGCGCAGTGGTTGAGAGTCCGCCTGCCGATGCAGGGGACGCGGGTTCGTGCCCCGGTCTGGGAAGGTCCCACATGCCGCGGAGTGGCTAGGCCCGTGGGCCATGGCCGCTGAGCCTGCGCGTCCAGAGCCTGTGCTCCGCAACGGGAGAGGCCACAACAGTGAGAGGCCCGCATACCGCAAAAAAAAAAAAAAAAAAAAAAAAGTTGACTTTTTAGAGTGGGAATTTAAGATCTCATTACCACTTTCATGATCTCCAAGTCAGTTGGTCATAATAAAGATAATAAAAACAGCTCCCACTTATCAAGCACCTTATTTATACCAGGCTGTGTACTGGGCACTTTCTGAGACAATCTCACTTAATCCTCACAACAATTCCATAAGATAAAGATTAGTATTCTCATTTGGTAGTGGAGAGAACTGAGGCTCATTTCATTACCTTGCCCGACTAATGAGCGGCAGAGCCAAGTATCTGCAACAGCCATGCAAGTTTACGCAAGACCAAACCAAAGTTCTTGTTAACAGAAGACACTAGCATCCTAATAATTTATTCACGATCAATAAGCTAGCTTGAGGAACAGGCACTTTTATCTGTCCATTCATTGTACTGTTATATTTATTTATTGATAACCTATTCTGCACTAGGTATTGAATCTAGACCCCTCAAGGAGCTTATAGGCCAGCCATGTGCATTAACAGGTTCTTAAAGGACATCCAGATGTTCGTCCTTGAACATGATGAATTGACAGGGTCAAAAATAGCTCCTTCATAAATCATTCTCAATCTAATAAATCACTGCTGAGAAGGTAATAGGAAGATGAAGAAGAGGTATTAAGGTCTGGATATGGGGGAAATACAGATGTGAAGGGTAGGGTCAAAGTATGAGGAAATCTACTTGCTTTGGGCTGCTTGGAGGAATTCAGACTATTGTCCAAGTCACATTATGAAAGACAACTTTTCAAAATGGATCCAAATCCTAAGGCTTCACAGTTTTTCCATAATGAAAAATCTTTATGAATCAGGCACCCACAAGCATTTATAGCTGTTTACACCTCAGCTATGTTTAAAACTAATGAAAGAGGCAAACGTTTATCCCAGAAGTCATCACTCACCCTTTGTGTACTGCAATATCCTTTCCACCAAGACAGGGTATTTTGTGATGCGCTGAGTGACCAGCAGAATGCATTCTGGAATTCCTCGGCGTCGAGCCAAAAGGTTACTATTTCGGAGCTTAAAAAAATATATATATGTATATATTTTTTAATTTTAATATACACAAACACTACCTGTATTTTCTTTTTAGGTAGGAATTTAATAATACAAAGCATCTGCAACAGTATAATTCTACTCAGACATAACATGCTGCATCATTAATTAAAACTTGATATATTGTCATTAAATTGTATACTTTGAAATTAATTTCAATAATCCAACTCTCCAAGATTAAGAAGTTTCAAGTTACACTGATGTACTTAGAGTTAATTCCAAAAATAAGCAGGTTTTAAGACTCATAAGTGCTAAGATTCATGAATCGCAGAAGTTTTGAAAAATACTCAGAAATCAAAGTTACACTTTGAACATGAGTTTGAAATTAACTGTTTGTTTTTCTAACAGGTTTTCCTCTACATTTGTTATTATTCATCATAGCATTTAAGTTTCCTCTAATCCGGACAATTTTTTTTCTAAATATCTCAAAGCCTTATTTTCAAGTTCTCAATACACACGTATGTTTTAAAAAAACAAAAAAAGGAGGAGGAGAATCCAGGAGCATATGCTCAAAATGGTAGATAAAAAATTAGAACCCATGGGGCTTCCCTGGTGGCGCAGTGGTTGGGAGTCCTCTGCCGATGCGGGGGACGCGGGTTCGTGCCCCGGTCCGGGAAGATCCCACATGCCGCGGAGCGGCTGGGCCCGTGAGCCATGGCCGCTGAGCCTTGGAACCAGAAGGTTGATGGTTAAGATTCCCAAAACATCACCCTGTTACCTCACCACCAACCAATCAGAAGAAAGTTCACAAGCTGCAACCCTCACCCCAAATGTTGCCTTTAAACACCCTCCTAAAAAAAAAAAAAAAAAAAAAAAAAAATTAGAACCCATGAAACCCTAAAGGACAAATTTCTTCAGTAAGTAAGTAGGACACCAAAAACATGGGATGGGAAGCATTCAGCGTAAAGGCGATTTAAAAGACATAACCCCCCATGGATAATATATAAACCTTGGTCAGATCCTGATCCAATGTTATGAGCTAATGAGGGTGTTTGGATTACTGGCCAGGTGTTTGAAGATATTAAAGAATTATTGCGTATTTAAGTGGAATAATGCCACTGTAATTTTTAAAAGATATACTGTCCAAGTGATACAAGTTATATATGAAATGATGTGCATCACAGACTTGCTTCAAATTAATCCAGTGAGGGTGGGGTGGGTTCTTTATTTTTACTGTGGTTCTTCTGATTTATAGCTTGTCAGGGCATGAAAAGCTTCACAGGATATTACAAAGGTGCTCAGAAGTATGGAGAACATGGCTTCGCAAATATAAATACAAAAATAAATGATATGGGAGAAATATTTTACTAACACAGAAAAAGAGGCTTTCTATCTTTGCCACAAACCTATCACTTCCTTCTTCCCTGAAAAACAGTACCTAGATGTGAAACTTGGTTAGATCACCTAAAAAACAAATATGAACTTCATGCTGGCTTACCCTTTTGTAACAGAGTTTTAAAATACTTGCCTTAATAAAATTCTGAAACTTTTTATTCTGCTGGAGCTCTTTAAAGAGGCTAACAGCCTCCTTGTGATGGCTACAGAATTCCCCATATATTTTCTTCATTTTATTTGCATTTTCTTCTGAAAACTGAGAAGAAAAACATTTCAATGAAGGTTTATAAAATTAGTCAGTCCTAAACACTAAAAAGAACATGCAATTTTCATATATTTCAGTACATTCTTTGCAAATAACGAATAAACATCCAGGGATTTCTGACCACAATCACTTCTCTTCCCCAGATACTTTTTAAATTAAAGTAAGAGGAAGCAGTCAAGAGGTAAGAGGAAGACATCAACCTAATGTGATTATATTATATTGAACTAACTCAATTATCAATAGCCCAATGAAAAACATTCGATATCTTCTATTTTTGTGTGTTTATGCAACTTTATAATTTCAATTTATAGTTTTAATACTTTTACAGATTGAAGGGTATGGGGCACATTTGGGGATCCTCAGGAAGGTTGACATTTACATTGGGTAACTGATCATGTCCATGAACTCAGTCTTCATTGGGAATTTAATTTTTGTCATCACAAACGGATCAACAGGCAGGGTATCATTAGCCAAGATGACAGAGAAAGATGAGTAAACAGAAGGCCAATTTATTAACTGATGGACAGAAGTAGAGAGGTGGGCTGGATATTTCAATAACCCTGACCTGCAGAAAAGTCTCTGTAGAAAAATCTACATGGGAACAACTTAGCATCATAGGGTGGTATGGAGAGAATCAGCTGAATAATTTGAATGCCAACGTTTCAGACTCTGATGACCCTATGTATACATGTGGGTGTTGAAGATCACTGTAACAGAAACCAGAACACACCTACACCTCCTTAGAAAGTACTTAAAATGTACATCCCTGTCCCTGGTCTTTTCAACTTTGCTCACAGTTTTATCTATGCTTGAGGCCAATACATCTTACGAGATGATGCTTAAACCACCACCAATAATATATAGGTATAAACTTAACAAAACATACACAGGCCTTGTGTGCTGAAAACTACACAATGCTAATGAAAGAAATCAAATAAGATTTAAATAAATATACCATGTTCATAGATTGGAAGACTCAACATAGTAAAGATGTCAATTCTCCCCAAATTAATGTACAGGTTTAATGCAATTCTTATCAAATCCCAGCAAGTGTCTGTACATATAGACAAGATTATTTTAGAATTTATATCAAAAGGTAAAGAAACTAGGATAAAAACAATTTTGGAAAAGAAGAATAAAGTGAAAGAACTCAGTCTAGACAATTTCAAGATTTATTCTATAACTACTGTAATTATGACTATGGAAGGATACACATAGATCACTGGAACAAAATAGGAACCCAAAATGCCCAACAGTTTTTGACAGAAGGCAAAAGCAATTCATTGGAGGAAGGATAGCCCTTTCAACAAATGATATTGGAGCAGCTGAACATCCACAGGTCAAAAAATAATAATAATAACCTTGACCAAAGTCTCATATTTTATACAAAAAGTAACTCGAAATGGATCACAGACCTAAATATAAAACATAAAACTATAAAACTTTTAGGGAAAAAAAAGGAGAAAATCTTTGGGATCTCAAGCTAGACAAAGAGGTCTTAGACTTGAAATCAAAAGCATGATCCTTAAAATATGAGGGAGTCCAGGAAAAAGTTTGGCCTGCGTAAGAGGCAAGAGACCATTGTTTCAAGGTGTGTGAGGAGAGGGGATTCATAGCACTGCCTAAATGAGCTTCAGAGACAGGTGCGAGCCGCAGCTATCAGCGTGGACACCAGAGACTGGCATGAAACGCTAAGGCTGCTGCTGCCGCCACCAAGAAGCCTGAGTGCAAGCACAGGTCACTATCCACACCTCCCCTCCTGGGAGCCTGTGCAGCCCGCCACTGCCAGGGTCCCGGGATCCAGGGACAACTTCCCCGGGAGAACGCAGGGCGTGCCTCAGGCTGGTGCAACATCACGCTGACCTCTGCTGCTGCAGGCTCGCCCCACATTCTGTACCATTCCCTCCCCCTGGCCTGAGTGAGCCAGAGCCAGCTAATCAGCTGCTCCTTTAATTCCCTCCTGTCTGGGCAAAGAACAGACGCCAGAGGGCGGCCTACAGGCGGAGGAGGGGCCGAATCCGAACCCGGGAGCTGTGTGAACAAAGAAGAGAAAGGGAAATCTCTCCCAGCAGCCTCAGGAGCAGCGGATTAAATCTCTACAATCAACTGGATGTACCCTGCATCTGTGGAATACCTGAATAGACAACGAATCATCCCAAATTGAGGAGGTGGACTTTGGGAGCAACTGTAGACATGGGGTTTGCTGTATGGGAGTGACTAGACTCTGATTTTTATGTTTACTTAGTATAGTTTTTAGTGCTTGTTATCATTGGTGGATTTGTTATTGGTTTGGTTGCTCTGTTCTTTTTTTTTTAATTACTTAAAAAATTTTTTTATTTTAATAACTTTTTCTTTCTTTCTTTCTTTTTTTCCTCCCTTTTCTTCTGAACCATGTAGCTGACAGGGTCTTTGTACTCTGGCTGGATGTCAGGCCTAAGCATCTGAGGTGGGAGAGCCGAGTTCAGGACACTGGACCACCAGAGACCTCCCGGCCCCACGTAATATCAATCGGCAAGAGCTCTCCCAGAGGTCTCTGTCTCAATGCCAAGACCCAGCTCCACTCACCGACTAGCAAGCTCCAGTGCTGGACACCCTATGCCAAACAACTAGCAAGACAGGAACACAACCCCACCCATTAGCAAAGAGGCTGCCTAAAATCATAATAAGTTCACAGACACCCCAAAATACACTACCAGATACAGTCCTATCCACCAGAAATACAAGATCCAGCCTCACCCACCAGAACACAGGCACCAGTCCCCTCCACCAGGAAGCCTACACAACCCACTGAACCAACCTTACCCACTGGGGGCAGACACCAAAAACAATGGGAACTACAAAATGGCAGCCTGCAAAAACGAGACCCCACAAAGAAAGTTAAGCAAAATGAGAAGACAGAGAAATATACAGCAGATGAAGGAGAAAAGTAAAAACTCACCAAACCAAACAAATGAAGAGGAAATAGGCAGTCTATCTGAAAAAGAATTCAGAGTAATGACAGTAAAGATGATCCAAAATCTTGGAAACAGAATGGAGAAAATACAAGAAATGCTTAACAAGGGCCTAGAAGAACTAAAGAGCAAACAAACAATGATGAACAATACAATAAATGAAATTAAAAATTCTCTAGAAGGAATCAATAGCAGAATAACTGAGGCAGAAGAACGGATAAGTGACCTGGAAGATAAAATAGTGGAAATAACTACTGCAGAGCAGAATAAAGAAAAAAGAATGAAAAGAACTGAGGACAGTCTCAGAGACCTCTGGGACAACATTAAATGCACCAACATTTGAATGATAGGGGTCCCAGAAGAAGAAAAAAAGAAAGGGACTGAGAAAATATTTCAAGAGATTATAGTTGAAAACTTCCCTAACATGGGAAAGCAAATAGTCAATCAAGTCCAGGAAGCACAGAGAGTCCCATACAGGATAAATCCAAGGAGAAACACCTCGAGACACATATTAATCAAACTATCAAAAATTAAACACGAAGAAAAAATATTAAAAGCAGCAAGGGAAAAGCAACAAATAACATACAAGGGAATCCCCATAAGGTTAACAGCTGATCTTTCAGCAGAAACTCTGCAGGCCAGAAGGGAGTGGCAGGACATATTAAAAGTGATTAAAGGGAAAAACCTACAACCAAGATTACCCAGCAAGGATCTCATTCAGATTCGACGGAGAAATTAAAACCTTTACAGACAAGCAAAAGCTAAGAGAAATCAGCACCACCAAACCAGCTTTACAACAAATGCTAAAGGAACTTCTCTAGGCAGGAAACACAAGGGAAGAAAAAGACCTACAATAACAAACCCAAAACAATTAAGAAAATGCTAATAGGAACATACATTATTGATAACTACATTAAATGTAAATGGATTAAATGCCCCAACCAAAAAACATAGACTGGCTGAATGGATACAAAAACAAGGCCCGTATATATTCTGTCTACAAGAGACCCACTTCAGACCTAGGGACACATACAGACTGAAAGTGAGGGGATGGAAAAAGATATTCCATGCAAATGGAAATCAAAAGAAGACTGGAGTAGCAATTCTCATATCAGACAAAATATACTTTAAAATAAAGACTATTACAAGAGACAAAAAAAGGACACTACATAAGATCAAGGGATCAATCCAAGAAGAAGATATAACAATTTAAAATACTTATGCACCCACCATAGGAGCACATCAATACATAAGGCAAATGTTAAAAGCCAAAAAAGGGGAAATAAACAGTAACACAAAGGGGAAATCGACAGTAACACAATCATACTAGGGGACTTTAACACCCCACTTTCACTAATGGACAGATCATCCAAAATGAAAATAAATAAGGAAACACAAGCTTTAAATGACACATTAAACAAGATGGACATAAGTGATATTTATAGGACATTCCATCCAAAAACAACAGAATACACTTTCTTCTCAAGTGCTCATGGAACATTCTCCAGGACAGATCATATCTTGAGTCACAAATCAAGCCTTGGTATATTTAAGAAAATTGAAATCGTATCAAGTATCTTTTCCAACCACAACGCTATGAGACTAGATATTAATTACCGGACAAAAACTGTGAAAAATACAAACACATGGAGGCTAAACAATACACTGCTAAATAACCAAGATATCACTGAAGAAATCAAAGAGGAAATCAAATAATACCTAGAAACAAATGAGAATGAAAACACGACAACCCAGAATCTACAGGATGCAGCAAAAGCAGTTCTAAGAGGGAAGTTTATAGCAATACAATCCTACTTCAAGAAATAAGAACCATCTCAAATAAACAACCTAACCTTACACCTAAAGCAATTAGAGAAAGAACAAAAAAACCCCAAAATTGGCAGAAGGAAAGAAATGATAAAAATCAGATCAGAAATAAATGAAAAAGAAATGAAGGAAACAATAGCAAAGATCAATAAGAGTAAAAGCTGGTGGACTTCCAGGAAGATGGCAGAAGAGTAAGACGCGGAGATCACCTTC